TAGAAGAACATCAAATATTTATTGTTGTGCAATTGATCACTCAAACTTTTGAAACAAGAACAAGATGAAAAATTTGAAGAAAGAAGTACAAAGAAATCTCTCAAAAAATTGTAAAAAATCAATGTATTAAATGAATTATATTTTGAATACAAAAGAGAGGGGAGGTAGGTAATAAGAGCCTAAAACTAAAGCTATAGTTTTAGAATAAATGATAAATTTGATTTAATTTGAAAATCTAACAAGATAAATAATAACAAGAAATGAACTTGAATATTATCTTAATCTAGAGAAGGATAAATAAAAATAGATAAAATAAAATATTATCCTAATAAAAGAGATAAAATAGAGTCTTTAACTATGTAATTTATTTTTAATAAAATTAGCGGTTTTCTATAAAAAAAAAATTACACAAAAGTATTTAACTTCAATCTCATTTGTTTAACTTGCTTCTTATGATTAGGCCGGTTGGAAGATTAGGTCAGATTATGAACTTGGGTCTATAATGCTTATATCATATTTCTCCAAATCTTTTATATTAAAATATTGATGTTGAAAACATATTACAAAATAAAAGGAACAATATATATATATATGAGAATATGAAAAAAATTGTATTATTTTTCGATATCAATTGTATACGATACTTCTCTAAATTTTATATTTGTTGATATAAAGAACTTGAATACTAATGTGCATTAAAGTCGTAATAACAAATACATAAAAGTCTTGAATAATATACAATGTTCTAATCATAATAGATATCTACATAAACAAATATTCATGATAATATATAATTTTTTAATAATAGTAATATATAATTAGGTCAACTAGCTGTTTAGTTATTCACATATTATTATATTTTTATTTTGATCAGTCAACTATTTTTTTTTCAAATCATATGTATTCACTACTATTATAATTTTATAATAAACATCTTATGAAAAGAAAATTTCACATTGCATAGATCTGAACCTTGAAACAAAGTGACTAAGCATATTATGTGCACGAACCAAGCGACTTCAGTGGTAAAAGGGTTGCTATTATTTCTTAAGGTCTTGGGTTTAAGTACCAGTAATGTCACGGATGTGAGCATTCAATGTCAAATGGTTGAGAGTTATCTTTGAACATATAATACCTTATACTTACTTCATATTAATAAATAAAAATATTATCTATATTGGTTTCAACAAAATATATATTTAATTTAAGTTAAAATATAACATTGAGCACTTATCTAATTAGCCATTTTATTTTTACTATTGATCTTTTAATTTTGTTGATTATACTAATGTTATTTAATTGTTTTCAATCAAGTCATTTATTGTTAACATTTAACAGTTTAGGTGACATTTGTTATAGTCACACATTTGGTCCATGTGTCACCCTCTAATTGAAAGAAAATAAAGCAAAGCAATTTAGGGTCAAACAAATTTGAAACTTGGAAACTTGGGAATCCAAGCATGTATTCAACCATTAGCCAAGATCATTGCTTGGTCCAAAATATACACAACATTATGTATATTTTGTATTTTACTATAATATATAAGTACTTAACTTAAATTCATAATATTATATGTATATTAACTTAAAATATTTTATTTTTATATTAAATTATTTAATATTTTTTATTAATGTAATATAAAAATATTTATTTTCATTATAAATTAAAAATATATATTTTATTTTTATCTTAGGTTAAATATATATTTTATTCTTATTTTAACTTAAAAATATATTTTATTTTAAATTTTGAACATATATTTTATTTTTATCTTTATTTAAAAATTTAAATTAAAAATATATTTTATTTTATTTTAAATTTTGAAAGTATATTTTATTTTTATCTTTATTTAAAAATATTAAAAATATATATTGACTTAATAATATTTTTTATTCTTATTTTAACTTATAAAATATATTTTAAAAATATTTTTAAATTAAGATAAAAATAAAAATATTTTTTTGAACTTAAGATAAAAATAATATATATATATATATATATATATATATTAAGTTATGATAAGAATAATGTATTTTTAAGTTAAAACATATGTTTTTAATATATATATATATATATATATATATATATATATATATATATATTAAGTTATGATAAGAATAAAGTATTTTTAAGTTAACATAATATTAAAATATTTTTAAGTTAAGGTAAGACTAAAATATATTTAATAATTTAAAGTAATAATATAATATATTCAATAAATTAAGATAATATATATTTTAAATTAAATAAAATTCAAATATTTTAAGTTAAGATAATAATAAAATATATTTAATAAGTTAATATAAAAAATATTTTTTAAAGATAATATATATAAGATATTATAAATTTAAGTTAAATATTTATACACTAAGATTCAAAATATATAAAATATGTTGTCCATTTTAAACAAAGGATTGGTTTTAGCTCAGTGGTTGGATACATGCTTGGTTTGGTTTCTAAGTATCCTACGTTTAAATCTCTTTGATCCCAAATTACTTTTTTTTACTTTCTTTTATCCATATGGTGACATGTGTCACCCTTCGATTGGTGAAAATGAATATATTAAATTAAAATAAATTAAAAGTATAATTAAATTGAGAGAATATGTAAATAATAGTGACTAAATATGCGATCATACCAAAAATATTTAACTGCTATGTAACTTAATTTGTTAAATATTACGACACATGACTTAATTGAGAAGATTTAAATAATCTAGTGGTCTAATTCAAAAAATTGAAAGATCGATAATAAAAATAAAATGGCTAAAGTGATCAATGATATAGTTTATTCTTTAATTTATATACTAAATTATCTCTAAAAATAACTTTTGCTATATTTGAGATTGAGACATTTCATAAAAATATCAAACACTTAACTGCTAAATTAAGTAGAAAAAAAACATTTAGAATTAAAAGGAGCCTAAATTAAATAATATCATTGAACTTATATTAAATATTAAATAGTTTCCACTAAAATATAGCAATGTGAAAAGAATTTAACGGGCTAGAAATTCCCCAAAAAGCCTATTTTATTGAAGAAAATTTTACAACGCAGGACACACATCGCAATACATAACTAAAGGTACACCGAAACACATATTTTGTACATGAATTATCTTTATTAAGATTAAAAGGGAAATTACAAGTTTTGTACCTAAATTATCATCTTTGTTAAGATTAAAAAGAAAAATTACATGTTTTGTACCTGAATTATTATTTTTATTTTATTTTAGAATCAAAATTTTATTTTTTTAAATCATTAACCGTAATGATTATGTGATAGATGTATCAATTTTTTATTTTTAATTACGACGTCTCCTTTTCTTTATTCATCAATATTTTTAATTAATTTTATTCAACCAATTAGGGATAAAACGATAAAAACGATTCTTACTCCTAATATGAATTGAACTTCAATCTCTTACATGAGAAACAAATCACTCAACCATTGACATAAGTTAGTCATTTGAGTAAATTTCACTACATTTTATATTTAATTTATATGACGTATCACCACAAAATCAATATTTTTTTTTATAATTATAAGATTCAAATATGAGACTTTAAATTAAAGGTAAATTACAAATTTGATAACTGTTATTACATAAATAATTTTAAAAAAATATTATTTTAAAAGATATATTTATAATATTATAAAATCATTTATTTAATTTTTCAAATAACATTAAGTATTTATTTGAAATGAAATTATTTTTAAATTATCTATTTAATTTTAAATATTTTAAAATTTATGATAAATTATATGTTTAATATCCAACTATCATTTGGTTTCGTATAATATTATTTAAAATTACATAAACAATTTAAAAATAATATTATTTAAAATATATATTTAATATTATTTCAAATAAATAGGTGATATGATTTTAAAAATTAAATACATATTTTAAAATATTTTTAAAATATTATAAATATAATTTTTAAATAATTTAATATAAAATTTATTAATATATATAAATAATTATTTAATTATATTTTATTTCCAAATAAAGTGAAAATATTATTTAATTTAATAATGATATAAGTAAGTATTAAGTCTAATGTAATAAAAATATATTCACATTATAGTTGAATAAATAACCTTTCGATCATTAATTTAAAACACCACATATTTGAATTTTATAATCATCAGGAAATGTTGTTTTTGTGATGATATTATTATATAAAAAATATGAAATATGGTGAAATTAACTTAAATGACTAGTTTAATTCAACTGTCGAGTGCCTTGCATTTCATGTAAGAAGCATAGGTTCATTCATGCTAAGAGCAATAATAATTTCTTTTATTTTATCATCATAATTAGTGAAACGTGTCACCATTTAATTGGTTAAATAAAATTTATTAAAAGTATTAAAGAGAAATAAAAAGTGATGTGAAAATAAAAAAAATTGATATTTCATGTCACATTAATATTGTCGTTAATAATTTAAAAAAAAAATTCTAAGTATTAAAATAAAATAAAAAAATAGTGAAAGTACTAAACATATAATTTATTATTTTAATATTTTTATTTGATAAAAATAATTTAATTAGTGATGTGTTTTAATGTTTCACTTTATTTGTGTGTCGTGATGTTCAACTTGCGTCGAGTTATCCATCCCACTAGATATATCACGGGTTCACCACACGCCTGCCTACGTGTGTCTACAATAATATATAATTTATTATAAATTATTAAGATAAGAATAGTTGAATATTTAATACATTGATATATAATAATAAACATATCATTTGATGACACGCTAAAGATGGCAATGTGGAAAGAATCTTCGAGACTAAAAAATTCCACAAAAAGCTTATTCCATTGGATAGACCACGAGTTCTCCACACGCCTGCTTACGTGTGTCAACCTCGACCGTCCACCTGATTTCCAATCCCACGGTCCAAAACGAACCCCGTTCATTCCAGAACTCTTGTAACAGTGCATCACCACTCCCAATCGTGCTTCTATATATACCAGGCCTGCCATCCCTTCACCTGCAATCGCATCCTACCCTCCATCTTTCTTCATTTCTTAGATTATTCCCCGAAACATTTCACTTATTTCAATTCAATCCCCTTCCAGTGGAAAGCAATGCTTCTGAGATCAGTTTCATCCTTGTATGCCCAACCCAAGAACGGGGAAAATCTAATTTATTCCCCTAAGGGTTCCTCTGTTTTTCCTTCTCCATCAACCCTGAGTTTTCCTTCTGGAAAACATGGAAGGAATTCGGGTGTTTATGCATCCATAGGAACAGACAATTCTGCACTTACAGGAGTAGTGTTCCAGCCCTTTGAAGAGGTGAAGAAGGCGGAGCTCGGTATTCCCATGGCCCCTGACCGTTCACTTGCTCGACAGAAATACGCCGACGACTGTGAAGCCGCTATTAACGAGCAAATCAAGTGAGTCGTTGTTCTTTGTATTACTTTTTAATCCATGTTGTTGTAGTGTTTTATTCTGTTAATGGGTTGTTGTTTATCTTGTTCGACAGTGTGGAGTACAATGTTTCCTATGTGTACCACTCGATGTACGCTTACTTCGACAGAGACAACGTTGCTCTCAAAGGTTTAGCCAAGTAAGAAATATTAAAGAACTTCCCCAAAATTTCATTTTTCTTTTCTTTTTTGTAGAATTGTAGGAGATGATGAATCATTGATATGGTTTGCAATCAGATTTTTCAAGGAATCCAGTGAAGAAGAAAGAGAGCATGCGGAGAAGCTGATGGAATATCAGGTTTTCTTTTAATGTTTATTTAGTTTAGGTTGATTTCACCTGAAATTTGGAGGCATCTGATACAATTTCTAACTGTTTGATTAGAACATACGAGGAGGAAGAGTAAAACTACACTCGATTCTGACGCCGCCATCAGAGTTTGAACATTATGAGAAGGGAGATGCACTATACGGTCAGTCACTGTTCCCTTTTCTGCCATTTCCTAATTGATTCATGGTTGAAAATCTCTGTTACTTTTTTGCCATTTTTTAATGAGTTCAGCTATGGAACTAGCATTGTCGTTGGAGAAGCTGACGAACGAGAAGCTTTTGAACCTGCACAACGTAAAACTACTTGTTCCGAAACTTAGGTTATAGCCATAGTCGTAGATGAGGTGTTTGAGTCCACAACTAATCAATTGGTGTTTACTTCATTGATGAATCACAGGTGGCCGAGCAAAACAATGATGCTCAGATGACGGAGTTCGTCGAAAGGGAGTTTTTAACCGAGCAGGTGAGCTCTTAACTTTCATTCGTATCCGAAACAAAAAAGGTCTTTCGAACGACCCTGGTTTCTAAGTATATGAAGTTTATAGGTTGAAGCCATTAAGAAGATATCGGAGTATGTTTCTCAACTGAGGCGGGTCGGAAAAGGACATGGTAAGCTTTGAAAGCTACATGTTTCATCTTGTTATGTCATCAGAGTATTCCGTACATAAAACACTGGACGATGTTTGAGCTATTTTGTGATAACCGAGTGCAAATGATTTGCAGGTACTTGGCACTTTGATCAAATGCTCCTCGATGAGGGGGCGTGATGCTTGTATGATCGACATCTAAATGCTCAATCTTTTTGTCGTTCAAGTGTTTCAGAGACGTTCTACTATATATATGAGCAAATAAAGTGGTGTTGTAGGATATCATTGTAACTACTCCTTAGCTTTGGCATGTAAGATAAAATAAAATGCTTTGTTTTTAGTCCCATTTGCTTTCCCCACTGAGATTGTATAATTTGAAGATTTTTATAATGAAACTTGGATTTCTTACAAAGGAAATTAGTAAACTAACTAGAGTTAACAGCTTATCGACAATATAAGTCGGATAAAAAATAAAAATAATTAGAATGTAATTTTTTCAAAATAGATGACTAAAATAAGGTAGAACAAAAATAAAAGGGATTATCAGTGTCATATATTACCCTATAATGAAACTTGGAAAAGTACTCTTCTTCCCAAGGGAAATTTCCCGTGAAGGAATAGGAACAACTAGATTGTGGAAAAAGCGAGCTCTGTGCGTGTTGCTAATGACAAAGATCAGCACTGTCTAAAATGTCAGACAAAGATCAGCACTGTCCAAAATGTCAAATCTTGCAAGGCTTAGTTAATGCGAATAAATCACATATGTTGAGAACGTGAGTAAATATAAAAATAAAAAGTCTAAGAGATAAATTGTAGGAAGGAAGAAAACAAAGTATAAGATGGTGTGGGAGATTCGAGCAAGGAAAAGTTGTTGTCGTATTCACTCGTGACAGCTATTTTGACTAGACGCATATTGGGATGTAGTGGCCCAAAGATACCACGAAAGGCTTGTTGAATTGGATAAACCACGAGCTCGCCACACCCCTGCTGACGTGTTTCAACCGTGTCCGACCACATAATTTTTTATCTGACGGTTCAAGACGATCCCCAGCACTTCCGCAACTCCAAGTGATAGAAAGGTTATGAATTTACAGACTGAAGCCAGCCGTTCAAGAAGACAAGGGAACATGTTTCTCAACTGAGTAGGGTCGGAAAAGGACATGGTAAGCTTTGAAAGCTACTTGTATCATCTTCATCTTTCAGTTTCCTATGTCATCTGCATTCCATTCATAAAATCATTGGATTCAATGCTTCAATTACTTGTAATTTTGAGTTAATCTAGTATATTTTATAATTTTAATTTTGTTTTAAAAAATTGAGTTATGAAATTCAAATTGAATTATTTAAATTTATGTTTAAATTTAGTTATAAATATTTATAATGTTATAGTACTAACTAATCCTAATTTTAACAATTTTTTATAATTGTATGATATACATATATATTTCTTCATATACATAAATCATGTAAATTAAAAGATTAAACTTGAACTTAAAAATAATACATTAATTACTATAAATTGAGTTACTCAAATTCTATATTATAACTCAAACTTCATTTAAAAAAAATCAAACCGTTCTAAATTTATAAAGTTATGACATCAAATTATTTAATTTTTTCAAATCATTTTAAATTTATGAAGTTATGACATCATAATATTTAATTTTTTCAAATCGCCCCCAGGAGTGTAGAAGAGCGAGATGATCTATGATCTACATCTAAATGCCGTATCTTTTTGTTGTTACTTTCAGAGATATATATCTAAATTCAATTTTTTTGCCATGCAAAAGAGAATCAAAGCTTTGTTTTTAGCTACCCCAAAACTAAGGGTTATGCAGCTCAATACCTAGAGGAACAATGTTAACTCCAGAACAACAAAAATTGCAACAAAAAAGTCCTCAAAATTTTACTCATAACATAAAACAAACAATCTATCAAGTCCAGAAAAAACTACAGCAGCTAAACATATCTGAATATCTTATGCTAATGTTCAAGCAGAATTTTGGGCTGCAAGCCTCTTCCTAGCTTCCTCAATGATGGATAACTTGATACCCTTGCCCTTGGGAAGGGATACCCATGGCTTTGTTCCTTTTCCAATGGTGAAGACATTGCCAAGACGAGTTGCAAACTCGTGCCCAGCAACATCTTGAACATGGATAGTCTCAAAGCTGCCCTTATGCTTCTCCCTGTTCTTAATCACTCCAACACGGCCTCTGTTTCTTCCTCCAGTCACCATGACAACATTTCCAACATCAAACTTGATGAAATCAACAATTTTGTTGCTCTCTAGGTCCAGCTTGATGGTGTCATTAGCCTTGACAAGAGGATCTGGGTAGCGGATAGTACGCCCATCATATGTATTGAGGTACGGAATACCTTTCTGGCCAAATTGGACAGATCGAACCTTGCACAGCTTAAACTGCAGAACAGAAAAAACAAAAAACATTGTTATACCTACAGGGTGAAGAAAGTAGAAATACTACACTGCTATAAATCAAACCTTGGTTTCATCACCGGTGATGGCATGAAGACGGAAACGTCCTTTGGTGTCATAAAGGAGACGGAAGTCCTCATTTGTTTTAGGAATGGATACAACATCTGGAAGTAGGTGATCAAGTATGTTACACGATACTTGAACAGAATAATCTCAGGAAAGCAAAGAGAAAGGAGGATTATCCTAAAGCTAATATGGGAACAATCCAAGAGAGTGAGATCGCATGTCAATGAACATTGCCCAACTCATCATGTACATCTATAAATTAGAATAAAAGCCTCGGTCGACGAGACTAGTGAAGACGAAGAACGGACGTTAGGAGCCTGAAGCCATGTACAGATCAGAGAAATCAAACCAAACAAATTTCATTCAATTGATTACAGTGTCTCGACAGAACCAACTCAATCTAGTAATATCGAGAAAGGAAGCATACCCATGAAACCAGCAGGATAGGTCTTATCTGTCCGAACCTTCCCATCCACCATAACATGCCTCTGCATGAGAATAGCAATAACTTCTCTGTATGTGAGAGCATACTTCAATCTGTTTCGCAAAATGAGAATCAGTGGCAAGCATTCCCTGGATTTGTGTGGTCCAGATGATGGCTTCGGAGCCTACATAACAGGATCATAAGAAAAACATTTTATCGAGCAGGAGGAGAGAAAAAAGATGACACTGCAGTAAAATAGTATGGAAGTAAAAGGATCAAGGCAAAAAACATACAAAGGCACCACCCAGTTTGTCAAGCATCCAATGCCTAGGGGCATTGAGCCTCTTCAAATGTTTCTTCAAACCTCTAGCCTGTACCACCAAGGAAAATAAAACGTGTTAACGAAGCTCAAATGTTCTACTCTTTCAACGCAGAAAATTAAGACACTTCTAAATCAACAACGGCAAGACCGCACATTCACAGATAAGAAAGCTAAACTAAAATAATCAGATTTAAACAATCTAGCAATTTAAAAAGAAAAGAAAAAAGCTACACAGAAAAACAAGAAGAGAGAATCAATCTAAGATTACATTACAAAATATTGCCAATTTATATTAATTTTAACTTATGCGAAGCGTAGATACCAGATCTGATTATGAACAATGCAAATCACAGAAGAACAATGAAGCGAGTTTTTCATAGACATAGCAGGACTACTTCATTTGTTCAGAACTTAAAAAAAAAAGCCGAAGAACAATCAAATGGAAAAGATAAAAAGAGTTAATATGAAGCATAAACCATCAAAATACCAAAGATTGGGGGAAAGAGGAAACTAACCATCCTGGTGAAATGCGGCTTATTTAGCTCGAAGGCTGGTTTTGATGCTAGATCGCTCTTGAAAGAAGATGGTGTGAGGGGCTAGCAGGAAACCCTAGTGGCCTAATGCTTCACATTGTTTATATTGACGAAGATTGGGCTTGGTTCGGCCTTTTCTGAATAAAACGTTTTAACAACAACGGAATCAAAATACTCAATTATTTTTATGTGTTCTTAATTTAATAATAAAATAATCATTAATTTTTGGAATGATTTTAATGATAAATTTTTTTAAGCGATTTGAATTCAAATAATATTATTTATACATGTAAGCGAGATTAAATCTAAATCTTTTTTTAAAAGAGAATCAATTATTTGGTAAATTGATGTGGATATAAAATATTTAATATATATATATATATATATATATATATATATAATTAGTTGTGAATATTCGATCGAATCAAGTTAGTCAAGTTTGAGAGTACTATTTTATCATTCAAACTTTATTTGATTTTTGTTTTAGTCGGATTTATTATTTAGGATCGAGTTATACTCAAATATATTTTGTTAAGTTTATGTTCAAAATATAATTATTTGTAATGTTTATGATATTGATTGATTTTAATTTAAACGATTTTCTATAACTATATACAATATACATATGTATATTTTATTATCCTTTTCTACATGTGTAAATAAGATTTATAATATTATTTAAATAAATAAAATATCGTATAAAATTATATGATATATTTATAATTTTATTTTTTTAAATAAATAATTTTGAGATAAAGTATTTATAAGAATACAAAAGAGAAAGAATTGATGTGTATCAAAAACAAAGAGAAAGAATTGATGAAAGAGAATTTGCAAAGAGTCACGGTTGAATGATCGAATTAAAGAAAATATAATATTGAGGGACTAAATTGAAAAGGAAAATATTTATTGTCAAAAATAAGAATTGAAGTTACATAAGTTGTCTAAAGCGGTATTCACTTTTTTTTTTATAGAATTTCAACATAAAAAAAATCCTTCAGTTCTGCGTACATGAAGTTTAGCACTAATTCCTCCAAGAGGAGACTCTGACTAGTGTAATGCCTCTCCACTCTAAGGCTAACTCGTTCTCCGAATCCCCTCCAATGGTCACCTCATATAAGTTATCCCTTTCTCTTACTATTTCTTGAGCTTCAAGTAATCTCTCCGATCCCACCCTGAAGCCCTCGATTGCGTTGCCTGCATTGAAATGTCGAGCTTCGTTCATCTCCTTCCAATGTTGTAGCCACGCTTGACCACATATATTAGGTCCTATAAATAGACACTCCATTTTCATTCTTGCTTGCAGCAGGTGCTTTGCGAACCCGGATTCCATTGATTCCAAAACAGCTTGGTAGTGCGTCAATTGGTCGTCGAAGAATGTGGCGAATTCCGAGCAGTCTTTCGGTTTTTCATAAGCATCTCCATCACCAAATGTTATAATCCCCTTGTGTCTTGAAACGTAGTCTTTAGCTATGTTTAGAAATTCGTTTACGATCTTCCTGCTCCGGTGTTTTCCGATCCCCACCGTGCAATTGAAGGCCAACCATTCTCGATTTACACCTCGTTT